TATGAGAGGCTAAGAAGACAAGTGTGGAGAAGAAGAAGATAAGAAGAGAGACAATTTTGGAATTGTTGGTTTTTCTTACAGTGAGTTAACCGGTGTGGTTTGGTTTAAACCATATTTAGTTTTGAAGGGGGTTTCTAGTGATTATAGACAAAAGAAGAATTGAAACGGCATGTAGCCAAACTAACATGTAAAGTGTATAGACATAGAAGAAAGATGTATCAACACAGAAGTATGTGTGAAAGAACAGAATTTAAAAACTTACATCAGATTTTTGTACAGTGAAGCTATCAGTTCTGATAAAAAAGTTTCTTTTTTAAAAGGCAAGAGTCACTTTCTTTTTCAACTATCAACATTTTGAACCCCATGCTTTTGCTTTGCTTCCAAATTTCAGACCATGTTAGACTTATCCTTCTTGTTGTCGAACCCAAAGAGCGAGCAGTTTTGAAACGCATCAAGGCTGGTCGCTAACAGACGGCTCAATCCCCCGAGGCTCTCACTGAGGATCAAATCTTCGGTATACTTTGAAGATCTAATGTCTAGATCTAGTGGTCCTAACGAGTCAGGCTGCAAAGAGGAGTTAAAACAATGTAAACAAGTGTTTTTTTCAAAATATCATTTTTTTTTTTCACTTTGGAAGAAAAGATGAGATTTTGTGATTTACCCAATATACATCCGCAAGCCCACAATGGAACTTCCCTGGAGAATCTACCAAGTGACGGTCTGTTGGACCCTCTTCCATTGGATCTCCCTGCTGGTCAGGAGAGTTACAAGGCTCCTCATCGCCAGATTTAGCCTAAGAGAAAGTTACAAAGTATTGAAGAAGATGGTTTTGTTCTGTAAACCATTGTATAAGTATTTTGAGGTTGATATAGTTACCTCCACCAATTGCGAAGGCTCTCCATTTACTCTTCCAACACCTCCAGGAGAAGCACCATTAGCCAACTTGGCGGAATCTGCAAGACGTTTCTTTTGGAAAGAGAAGGCATCGCGTGTATCTTCATCATCCCATATAGAGGAAGAGCCAGAAGTCAGCGGTTGTAGAGCACTTGGCTTGTTCTGGTGTGTTAGTATATGGGCAGCAATTGCAGCATCAAAAGAGTCAGAGGCAAATGAAACATCTCGATGGAGGTAACGTGAACCTTCAGTAGCGGGTGGATCCACACATTCGCTATCTATGTCATCGGGCACTTCAGAAAGTAAATCACCTATACTTATGTTAGTCAGACTGTCTGCCCATGCTCCCGCTGATAGAGCATTACCGCTGTTCAAATGCTCAATCGGAGTAATAGTGGCTGCAGCAGGTTCATAATTATCTTTAGATTCTGCAGGACGATCATGGATTTTACTCGAGGCACATACTACAGATGTCGCTTGTTCAGCGGTTGAATGCACAGGTAAAGGTCCTGATTCAGTAAGGAGCAAGTTGACCTCGCTCAGCTCATTCGCCTCATCCACATTCAGCTCATTCGCCTCATCCACATTCAGCTCATTCGCCTCATCCACATTCATGTCATCCTCCAGTGAAGGACAAGAAGCTGAAGTTGGAACTTGAAAAATAAAAGAACCTGATGCATCATGGACGAACCAACCATACCTGCAAATAATATTTAAAAAAATTAAATTTTGGTTTTATCTGGTTTGATAATTTGACGAGAAGAAACCTGCAACAGACTAGGAGAATATGAGAGCACCTTAAGCGGAAAACCGAGGGACTTCCAACCATAGAATGCACTTCAGCTGCGCTTAGAAAAGAGTCATGGGTCCACCTCTGATGACACGTTATAGTTTCCTTTCGGGCATGGTAAGGGAACAGCATTAGCTCTCCAGTCGCACAACTTGAGCTTCCCCATTTGCGAGAGAGATGTTCCAGTACAGATGATATCTTCTTGCGATTACTAAGGGTAAGTTCCAGATGCGGATTGTGCTTATCCTGTTAAGAGATCAAGTTCCATTTCATGGCTCGAACATATATTGCTCCTATCAGTATAATTCCTATACAAAGCTTACCATTTCCAAGGATCTTCGAGTACATTCATCAATTGGGAACAACTGAAGTTTCAACTTGGCAGAAAATTGCATATTGGCATCAACGAGAGGAACATCACCAGCGGAGCATAGAGAAAATGGAGACTTTCCAGTTACATATCCTGTGGCACCTAGATCTAAGATAAAAGGAGAATTTGATTCAGAATTTTCTCGTGTTAGTCCTCAATAAACAAGCATCTAGAAATGAAAAACGAGATATCATCCAATACTAGCAAGTAAACCTTTTTGACCATCCATATCTTTGTCGATTGATGTTTGTTCTAAATGCTCTGCAGCATCAGCAACCAAAGAGACCCCATCTATTGCAGCCTTTTCCCATTTTCTATAACCTGCTGAAGAGGAAAGAACTGCATAAACATGTTTTTCAAGTAGCAACTAGATAATGTCACTAATCTAATATAAGCAAACACAACATGGGGCCGAAGAAAAGTGCCTATCTAACAAACATGCATAAAAACTAGCAGAGAAAGAACCTTGTTTTCGCCGTTGCCTTACACCTCTCCCAAAGGCTGTATCTTCTTTTTCGTCACCAAGGCTAGGACCTAAGCTTTCACAATTTTTGGTAGATGCTCTTCCAGGCCCGAACTTTTTAACATTTTGGCCATCGCAAAGAAGCAGTTTAAATGGACGGTTATCCAATCCTCTATCCCTACTATGACTTGAAATGTTTCCAAGGGAAGCAGAAGAGAAATTTTCTCCCTGGCAAGCCCGTTTTCTTATGCTTTTTCTGCGGTCTTTCAGCAATTGGTGTTCCTTCACGCAAAAGGGTTTGTTAGAAAATAGTTTGAAAACATTGCTTGTCATATCCAAGATGGTTTTGCCTTGAAATGAAATTTGCATTAGCCAACTAACCAAGGCCTCTATGAACAGCTTGAATCTCCGGGGTTTGAGGTGAAGTTTTGAAGCTTTGCAGCTATACTTTTCCAGTAAAGACCACCTGCAAGATACATAAAAAAAGCATGTTTACTTTAGACAGAAGAGCTGAATAATAATTAATATCATGATATCTGAAATCATGTCATCTACGAGAACGAAAAAACGTGATGTCTGATATCTATAGGTCAGTTCCAACTATCTGATCATGTATGAGGTTGCTAGCAGATATTCTCAATGCAGAAGATAAAACCAGAAAACTTTTCCGAACATTCTTTTGTCACTAACAGGAAATGCATTCCTACATAAGATTTCTGAGGCGAATAGAACCCCTTGCCTCATAGCATAATATAACTTGTTCATCATTTGTTCACGAAAACGTACTTCAACAATCTACAATAACAGCACAAAGCAAAACAGAAAAGAAATGTATATATCAAGTACCATCGTAGCATTGCAGCATTTGTGTCCTTTGGGTTCTTGGCATCAAGACTCAGTTCCGGACCCAAAAGTTTGTTCATACGCCTCACCAGCCGATAATAGTAATGTCTAACCTGCAAATCACAACAAGTTTCCAACACCATGAGAAATTAAAAAGAAAACACCAGCAAGTCTGAGTGAAGAGGTAACAAAATCCAAAGTTCTATCAACCAACCTGGTCCTTGTTTTTGCTTTGGACACGAGAAGTGATCTTCTCAAAATTCTGCAAAAATTTACACAAAGATAATGTCACTCACACATAACAGCAAAGAGAAACAAGAGCCTAACTCGTCCAACTTTTAACATTCGATACCTTTCCAACTTGACGAAGTGCAGTGAAGAAACTTTCTTCTTCTTGATGCGTCCAAGCAGCCCATTGTCTAGTCGGCTTCTTAGCTGCAACTTCAAACGATACAAACATTAGCAAAAAACACCGCAGTTTCGCAGACAATCAAAACTTCTGAATCAATGCAACATACCAGGAAACTGAACAACACTAATAGAAGCAGAAGACGCGATATTCGGGTTGCTGTTCTGGTTTATTATACGGCCCTCATCGACAGGACCTTCAGTGTTCAACAATACCTCCTTCTCGGCTTGCATTGCACAATAATTCGGTATCGGTTTAAGCATTCATATTGCAACTCTTCCTTTGTTTTCTTCACATTCCCAAAAATCAGAGCAATGAATCCTAACCATGAACAATAAAATCCCCAAAATCAGAACGAATTTGAAAGCATAATCATGACGATCATCATATACTAAAAAATCACAAATAAATTCAATTCCATACACAAATTCATAATTTCTAAATTCACAACAAAAAGTGAAAAACCCTAATTTCGAAGCTATGAATGTAGAACAAACACATTAACCCTAAATTTAATTTCACCAGATCAAAACGAAACGGCGAATTTGAAAATTCGAATACCCTAATTAACTTAATCGACATATATATATATATAGAATTTCAATCTCGTAAGCGAACAAGAAATTTTGAGAAATTAAGAACTAGGGTTACTAAATACATACACAAACATTTTTCGAAGTTTCTTAATAGAAAATCAAAAAAGAGAAACATGTTTGACCAAAAAAAAAAAAATTCGAGAAATATTACCTGAGAAAGATGCAATATAGATTAGAGGCTGAGATTGACGAACAGTAGTCGGAGAAATTTAGGGCAAATCTAAAGAAATTGAAGCCGATGGTATTTTTCCGATGAACGTCTACTACGGTTGAACAAGAGAAAAGAGAGAGAGAAAAATATTTTTATTTTTTTTCTTGTTTTACATTCACATAAAAATTGAATGAAAAAAAAAATGTAATAAATTTAATTACTTTTTATCTAAGATGTGAAA